GGAAGAACTATCAACACCTTTGGTGGTTCAACTGGGAAATGAAATTCCAGAATCAGAAATCCAGCTTCACTTAAAAGACCACATACAGCTCATAAGATACCAGCAGTGCGTCCACCCATACAACCTTTGAAGAGATTTGCAGAATGCAGTGAATCAGACTTTTCACTCAGCGCGGAAGAATGTGATTTGTTAGACTTTAGATCGTTAAACCACGGTTTTACTGATCATGTAGATCCTTCATCTTTCTATTGTAGCCGATGCACCTACAAGATCGTCGCTCATCACACAGAGTGGTTTTCTACTAGTCATGTGCACTATCGGCCGCTCGAATCTCTCTATTATATGTTTATCTATGAAGCTATCCGGGTAACTGTCCCCGAGAAGGCTCGTGATATGTTCGAGTTCCGCTGCTAGAACTTGGTCCCAGTCGCAAGAGATCATGAATGTGGCAGATGGATAACTCTCCTCCCCATATGATCTTGTCATGAAACAACAGGACGGAAGAATCGATACCACTCTTCGCACACTTACGACGACAGTATGCTTATCGAGCGACACGAAACGGCTTTTTCAACCTGAATACTTCCGTGCTAACTGCCGAGCGGACAAACATTGTCGCAGAGGAGAAAGATGTCGCCTGATCCCAGCAGCCTCGTCAACGCTTGTATTAGAGGTAAAAACCCGTGAGGATTTTTAATGACAGTATCGTGCATACGCGGTACGTCAGAAGCCACCGAACGTTGGGACCAAGTTAATCTATAAACCAATGGTGACTGGGCACGGTCGTCAACGTCAAGGATCGAGTGGAACTGCATGAACGATCAAGAGTGATCCACGCAATCCCGCCTCTGGGCTGCAATCAACACCACATGAGAGAAGAAAACAAATTCGCACTCGCCTACACGAACACAAAGTTGCCCTGCGACGTGCTGACCCGAGGTCCTAAATCTGGAACCACTGCGCAGACAGGTGACGAGATCGCGATCGGAAACGCAAAGACGGTGGTGCTTGCTAAGGGAGAACAAATAGTTCTCGATAAGCGACACTTGGCTAAACAGGCTACCCGTCGGACCTCTGATTGGGTGCGTCAGCTCCATGCAGGCATAAGTGAAATTCGGGTATATGGAGACTAAAGAAGAATATCCCAAGGAGAAAACTGCGCTTTCCCTTTCGGTAACTAACTTCTGCCGGATGAGCCGTATATCCAACGCTGGTTTGCATGTTTTCAGATCAGAGTATCATAAAATTGTTTCAGGGATGTCAACGTGGACATTGTCGAGTAAGCACGACTATTGCGAACGGAATTGCATAACCGATGAGCGGCTCACGCAGCAGGTCCTTTTACCCAACAGGGCTAGACCAAGATGACTCATTCTCGCCGCGAAAAATATGTCAACGACATACAGCAAGAGCTCCATTATAAAGAAATGACAATCCTACCATATATTTCCAATTTCCCGGGCTCGAAAGTAAATGCGGCAATAGGGAGTGAGTTGGGAATGGAAGACCACATATGAAACCGGTTTAGAGATGCTTGACTAGTAACCCACTTATCACGATCCACCGCGCCGGATGCAATCAGTATCGCGGCAGTGACTGTTCCGGTCAACACCCGACGCTGCACGGAATTATTTTCAGTTGATGTTCATTTAGCCTTCACGGAGGTATGGCAAAGAATCCAACCGCTAAGCAGAATGATTAGGGTTCTAGTTTTCAGGTTAAAAGAAGCTGAAAGCAAGACAGTGAGTGGGCGATGTAGAAACCAGTTAACTGGATTGATCTCCCATCAATTCTTTTAGCGACAGAGGAATCTATTCGAAACAAACCCCAAGTCTGGATTTTTCTGCCCTCCGTCTTTCGACTTTTAAGGCATGAATAGTTCTTTGACTTAACAAAATTAATTCTGTGTAGGTAGTTGAATCGGAGGTGCAAAAGCCATCGCATCGCCTCAAGATGCCGCACTGCAACAGGAATACAAAAACATCAGCTTATTGAACACGCATCGCTGACTGGATTCAATCGTAAGGAACATTTTTCAAACAATTTATGTATCGCACTTGCAGACTCTGAAGTGGAATGACAGCCGAATACCCATCAAATGGAAACATGAAAGCTTTATTTTAGTTCCTGTTTCAGATTATACAGCGATAAGTCATGCAATTTCGAATGAAGGTCACCCCTCAAAATGATGGCGTAACGTTCAGCTATAACGCTCAAAACGAGTTCACTTAAAACATCACTACGAGAGCACTCAACGAGCGAGAGTCTAATGCATTGACGGACATCGCCAACTCCCTATTCTATCAGAATATGACAAATATTTTCGTTTCGTTAGTGTTCAATATAGCCACGAAGTCATAGCAGAGGTTCCGAAAATCAGACATGTTCAACGACACGTTTCCTTCTCATTCACCACATTCACATTACTTAAGACAGCAGCAAGGAATGAAACCACAAATTCTTGATAGTTTATGCTGCTGAATAATGGACTGGCTCGAACAAACCATCAGCCAATGGACCTTATTCTCATTTAGTGCGCGAGTGGACGAATGAATTCCAAATCATTATAATCTTTATTATCTTAATTTTTACTGCCGAAGCGCAAGACAGAGCGGTTGGCCTCATTTTGGGGGACGAGTGGCCACCAAAAGGCTTGAAAAACTGCATAAAACACCAGTGCTGACATACATGCCATCGGTCTCAAAACATGGGCATTGACCATCGTTCGAGTCTAACCAACGGGCAATAGCACCAACCCGGCAAAGAGGAAATCTTCGCAAACACAAGCACGCGAGCTGCGATAACCGCACCACTGCAATGAATGTAGCATCGATAGGTTTCCTCTCAATGTTTTAATTCGAACACAATTACTATAGACCGATAAAGTCTGCTTATTCGAATCTTCAGAGAGTAACTGCAACAGCAAGCTTCAGCAATTGTGAGAAGTTGGTGACTCGTAGCAATAACCAAATGCGGGAGGAAATTAAACCTGTATACGAAAGCTAAAGACTCCTTTCTTATCTGATACGCGTTTAGACAAAACCAGGGAGATCATGCATTTCAGCATGCTCCACGAATCTCTCCGAGATATGTACCATTATTACCCAACGAAATTCTCGCTCAATCATCATCAAAATATCTCGGGATGATCAGTACATGGGAGAATAAAAGGTGAAAGCACCTGTTGCCGTTTACCTACGAGATGCTCTAGAGTACATAAATCTAAATCCCTTTTAGGCTCGATAGGTAGCGATAACCGACCACGAGGGCTATGTACCAAACCTTGACAAAACAGTCCCCGAAATGTCATGAATAAATCAACCTGTATGTAAAGCCGCCAGTAATCAGACTTCGTTCCTTAACTGCAGAGGTTATGCGCACCTAACCCACAGTACCTTATAGTATGATCGGCGTAACTATTTCACGGGGTTGAATTGTTTAGCAAAACCTCTGAGATACCAATGACGACACCATTGTTCGGGTGATTGTGTTTCAATACCCGTAAGGCTTAAATACAGTGACCATCGTGATATTCCGTACTTGACTAACACTGCTGTGTTGGTTTTGCGGAAGCGAATAGACCCTTGCTAACCTGTGAGTGAGGATAAGGACCAGACGCCCGAGAATTAAACATCCAACATCATTATCAGACCCAGCAGTCTTGACAGACATCTGTTATCAGTGGATACGGCACTACAACAATCAGCTCAACGAGGCCAACAACCAAGGCGACGGACACCAACAAGCTACATCCAACCAGTTGCATCCCGAAGATGGCCCAAACAGCCAGACTGCAGCAAAAAGATGAGACTGAAAGATAACAATCAAAACAGGCACTCGTTCAACAAAACGGCAGCAAAACATGAACATACACAAAGGTGAAGGCAGAATGCCAACAGAGTTGGTATACGTGGGAAGAATGAAACAGCGTTCCTACACAACCACCCGTTCAAGCAAACAGGAGAGTATAGGGGATACGCACAAGGGAGATGATGGAGACGAAAATATACACAACCCGGACGCGTGTGAATACAGACTGCCATACACAACACATTCGTCCGGAAAACAAGATGTAGCAAATGATTTGAGGAAAAGGAACGGCCAATAATATAAGAGGCAGGTGTACGCTGTTGAAAGAGTGGAAGATGCAAATGCGTAGCCCAGAGTATCAGTCGATCAACGGGACTGCAAAGAAAAACAAAAACAATGCATAGGTTGAGGAATTATACAAAAAACAAATTGCGATCGAGCCAATTACACAACACAACTCACAGATGAATTCGCTGAACTCAATTTCTTTGTAACGTACGGTCGTTTGACAATCAGGCCATTACAACCGCTGCATAATGTCGCTATCTAACAATCCTAAGCCTACTTAACTGATAACTGCTACTGTTCTCGTCGTTATTGGAATTCTCTCAAAGCGGAGTTGTTAACAAGTTTTTTGTCAGGGAGTCAGTACTGTTGTGAAATTGCTTTGTTTCGGGACAGCCCGACTCAGGTAATTTGTCGGAACTACCAACTAATCAAGACAGTTGGTAACAATCCAGTAAACCGATTGTTTGAAAATGTGCTTACTTCTCTAAAAGTAGTCACGCTCTTAGCGTAATACATGAATCCCTACACGCATTCCGCTGTGTTTTGTTTCACTACCCGTGGAACTGCCAGCTGGACGAGAAACGTTATCGGGGGACGACCATTCGATAATTCGATGACGTTATAAAAGATTAAACGGGTGAATGGCAATTCAAAAAGGACTGACAGTGAGACAAAAGTTTTAAGTAGAAGCACCAACTAGGGTGGCAATGATGCACAATCGCTCAAAAGATGACCTTTCATCGAAGTCGCGAAAGATAAAACAAAATTGAACAACACTTTTTGGACTAAGTGAGCAAACGGTAGTCAAGCTGATTTGACCTTTTTATTTGGAACCGTACAATTATCGAAGCTGTTTCACAACTTAAGAGAAATTCTTCAATCAAAGCCAAGGATGACCTACGTCAATGGCACTGGCTTACCCCAACATTGCTATAGGCGGGCTGATTGCTGGCTGCACCTGCTGCTGCACTGACAATTGCGGCGACCACATTCGGATTGTTCAGGATGTTCAACGTGGCCATTGCGGCACTGTTTGGGGACTCCGGACCGCCTCGACCAGAAGCTCCGTATTCTCCAGCGTTCTGACGCTACAAGGACAATATATGATTGTAGAAAAGTATAAACAGTTTCAATGTGAATGTTTCGAACTGATTGTTAGTCGGTTTCAGAGGGCCACCTCAGGCGACTGAAAACGGTATCCCGTAAATTGAACAGGATCGGCACGATGGCAAATGCAAATTTCCTAGGGAAATTAGGACACATAATGGAAACACTGACTTCAAATAAAAGATAAATGCCGTGGATACTAGGCGAAGAACGCCTCAATTGAGAGCCACACTGAAAATTGTCCGCCGTGTGCACACGGTCAAACGGTTATCTTTTATAAACCTGATTCGAATTTCTGCAATAGCATA